TTTGAAAGATAAACTAATTAGGATATGTTGAATATTAATATGCTCAAAGAACATAAAAAGCCTGAAATATTGAATATACCTCAGTCTCTCCAACAGATATAAGTAATATTTTCTGATAGTGAACACTTGACAGAGAATTGCACGCTTGTTTATTAGAAAATGTGTGTTACTAATAGTGTTTGGAATATGAATAATAAATTACCCATCTGGTTTTCATTCTAATGGGGGAGACAATCTCTTGAAGCAGAGACCCCTCTGAGCAATTGCCATAAAAAATGAGTCTGTTCTGTCAATTAACTTAGCAAACCACTTTTTCCGCTGATCCACACTGTAGCCATATTACTTTCCTTCTGGGCTGTCTTCTGGAGTAAATGGACTAATTGTCTCCGAGATAAAATTCAAATGTAGTTTTGGTATAGTTTTGGGATTGTTTGTGGGCGAGATGCTGCCTGTTTGTCTCCCTTTCATAATGCTATCCCAGTAGTTTTTATTTTTTACATCCTTAGCATACCCACATGCACCCACCGAGCAAGGCGGACTGTCAGAATTGCGCTATCGAAACTATTGTGACAGGTCTCAAATTTCAGGCATTTTGTCCCACTCCTTGTTAAGGGTACAGGCTGATCTGTGGTACTACCCGTAGTCTTTCTGAAAGTTGATAGACTATAGTACCAATTGGATTCCAGCACAAACAGGATGTTCTACAAGGTATTTCAACAGAGGGTGAGCTGCTTTACAAATTTGTAAGGCGCCAGATACCAACTCTGGGAGCAGGGCTGCGATCACATCTTCCTTTTTTTTTTTTTTTTTTTTTTTTCAAAAAAGAACCAATGCCTTGTCTGTTATTGAAACTGTGCTATTAGGAATATAATTTTTGTAAGCTTTTTTTCATGCACTGTCCTACTGACATGAATGCTGACTTTAGAATGGACAGTATGGATCTTACATTTACATTGATCTTACTTGAGCGTGTTTTCTGTTTTTTTTTAAAAGTATGTTTTTGGGAAAGCACTGGGGATAGAGATAAGTCAGGCATATTACAGGTTCATGTAGAACGTCTCGTCAAAAGTCTTCTATAATGTCATCTAGGCTAACAAAATAGTTTTTAGGTAAGTATGCTCTGATGTGGGCTTCACTAAAATGATGGTAGGTTGTCTTGAAAGAGATGAGAATGCCTATGTGTTTTCTTGGACCTTTGCATCAAAGCAATTTAGAGTCATATTTTCTAGTCAGTACAAACAATTGTCACTCAGATGAGCTGATACGGTATTAGAGAAAGTCAGAACGCGCATGCCGTTTGTTATAGTTGGTCTGTGTTCTCCAAGTATCTCTTGCATTCAGAATGTATTTTTGTGCCATGTTTCTTTTCAGTGTGTTTATTCCAATACTTCTGAGTCATGTGCTGATTATGGCTGCACTAATAGCACTAAAATAGGATCTCATTTTATGAATATTTAAACTGATCATGTTTTAGAAATCCATGC